TTGTCTATTATTTCACTTAAGCTTATGCGGGGTCACTCAAATATATTTTAACAAAGAAAATAATTTATGCATATCTTACGTTTTGTTCAATACAGGCAATCCAAAATTAAAAGACTTTCATTCTTCGAAATGTTTGTTGCTTATTATTCTACTTATCTGAATTATTTTAAATTTTTTTTTTGGAACTTTGAACTATTTTAAGCAAACCAATATTTTTCTTGATTTTACATATCATAACAATATATATATATATATATATATATATATATATATATATATATATATATATATATATATATATATATATGGTTTATATTACGTGTTACCATGTAAGCAGACATGTAGCAGTCAATGGTATAACGTGTAAAGAAGCTTAAGACATTAGACATTAAACAGTTAAGTTGTATAAACAATTAATTGAAACTAAATACAGTTTACAATTTAACTCAAACTTAGAACAGCAAAAGACTATGTGTTTATTGTAGATGTAATTTAAAAAAAGTATGTAAAAAATAAGTATTTGCCGAGAACTAACAAGACCATAAGATCACCATTTCAACAGTATTCGCTCCGTGCGTGACTGACACGACACCTACCACCTTTTTCTGACAATTTTGGAGTCCCAATTTTCAGGTTAAACATATGACATATGTTTGACATTGTTAAATACATGCGAAATTGACAATTATTATAATAAAAATTCATCATAATATATCTTTTCAACTCCAAACGTAAGAGAAAGGGAAAAATCTAGTACTGACAAATCAAGTTTTTCACGCAAAAGAGCATATAATTAAAAACAATTTAAATACAAATAAATTTGTATTTAAATTGTTTAAATTTAAATATTTAAAGAGCATATAATTAAATACAAATAGTAAAAGTTATGATATAAAACCTAAAGTCATCTGCAGTTAGCTTGAAGCCTTATAAAATATCATTCAAGGTAAATTATTTAAATTTTTCCTATTTTAATTGCGTAAAAATGAAATTATGTGATATTTACTTTTTCATATTAATAGCAGGAATTTATCTTTTTCTTTTCTCTAATTTATATGTAATCTTTGGGAACCTATAAAAACTACACTCACTGTTTTTGCTATTATTAGCACAATTAAATACGCAACATGTATTTGCACACATTTTTGATAAAATTTATGCGTAAAAATATTTTTTCCAATATTCCAATTTTGTCGTATTTCGCCGCTATGCACGCTGGCGTCGTTTCAATGTACCCCTACCATGGTCACGCACGGAGCGAATAATATTAATTTAATTTAATTTTGACTTTAGGTTACATTATTGAAGTGTGTTCAATCACAAATTAACCCCTTAATTTGTAATTTCACATTATTCTTAACTTCTTAATCTTTTATAGTTTCACCGTGTATAAGTGGGAAATTGTAAAACCATATCGTACAACATTTTAATAATTAGTTCATTTACCTACAACTAAATATATTGCCGAATAATATATTTTCTAATTGAACTTCCTAAGTGTCGCAATTAAGACCTAGATTAAATTGTAATGTAAGCAATTAGTTCAAAGTTTGTTGGTATGGTATGATAGAAAGCAATAACCTCTGTGCTGAGGTATGCATTATTTGTGAGATTATAAATTGGGGATTTGAGCTCATTTGAGCACAGTTTATTACAAGTAGTTAACTAAACAACATCATATTGTGTAATTACCAGTAACTGTCAATAAAATCAACATTTTCTGCGTAACTTCAACCTTTTATTATATTTATCATCGTCGATCGACAAGAATCGGACAAAGGGTCATTTACAAAAGATTCGAACCTCATAACTACGTTCGAAACTTTACAAAGTGATTATAAAAGTTTGCTATATTAATGTTAAAAAAGGTGTAAGTAATGAAGTTACCACAAAAAGCTTCCAATGCTTTCCGGAGACACTCGGCAAATGGGAGCCCATTTAAAATCCGCCGAACTATCACGTGAAGAGACAGTGTCCTTGAAGTCCAAACAGCCAAACATGACAAACTAGAAGGCGAGTTACCAACCGCTAAAGCATTAAAGTCGTTTAAAGTTTAAAAATATGATATAGTAGGCGAAATCATTGTCTGTACGAACCATTAAATTAAAGAAACAGATGCTTAGAAACACCATTTACTTTCAGGGAATGACTCGAAGAAAAAGAACAAGCAAGTTAGGTTGATCCCTACCTATCATATTATCAAAATATCTAAGTTGTAGCTGGTTAGCCAGCCACAGGTGCAAAATTAATTCAACTTTCAACAGTCCAAGGTTCATAATAATTTTGGAACTGAAAAATTAATAAGAATTCTATGAATCAAATTAATTTAAATTTTTTTTAAACTACTTCATCAATAATCATTTCATTAATAAAATTTTTAAGGTTGTAGAGTTTACTGTTAGAACAGTTTTATTTAAAAATTTAAAGTGACCTGCATAGTTAAATATTCGTGTCTGTCTAGATGTGATAGCTGGTATTATTTATTACAAATGAATGTGGTAACTACAGTATCACCTTCCTGATTCGCAGCAGTAGTATTGACAGAGGGTTGATTTTGTGCTGTATGTTTCAGACGGTGTGCTAAACAATATTTTCATTAAAAGGATGCTCGCCACCCACACGCGGGACTTTTGAATGATGTTATTTTCCATACATAATGGCATCACACATACTTTGTTTTATTTAAATTTAGAGATAGGAAGCTCTTTAAAGACACATTATTTCTGAAACTTTCGAACGCGATTTTTTGACAACTGCTCTGAGCAAAAATAATAAACTAAGCTACTATCTTAAAAGAAAAACTAAACGCCTTGCAAAATGGTGTGTCATTTGACACCCATCCCGTTTTTAAAATTGTAAGGGCAACAATTACGAAAAAAGGTGAAGAAGCACCATCAATAAGGGGTCAGATAGCATCAAAATAATGGTTAAATGAGATATATTGGGTAATTACCGAATAGGCCATCAGAATTTTAAACTACTTGGGAACTGGGTTAGAAAATGTTTATGAATTAAATATTACGTTAATTATTAACCAATATATAAATAGTTATTTTTTGTTGCAGGTAAATTGATCGCCAGGCATTGATCGTTTTAACTAGTCAGATAAAATATTCGTAAGTTTTTACATATAATTATATCCTGAGTGCAGTTGAAATAGTTTTTTTAGAACCTTCCTTTAAGGGCTTACATAAGACTTGTATTTAAAAAAATAGATCTATTTTTTTATTTTATTTGAAAGTATAGTGTGTTCATACCAAATTTGAAGAAAATTCGAGCAATATTACCGGAGTTCGCTGTGTGCAAGATCGAAAGAGCGACACCTAGTGTAGTAGATCAGTGAAGTTATTAGCACCTAATATATTACTCGTATGTAAACTGCAAATAAAATTACCTAAACTTGTTTCACGGATAATTCTCGGTTTTAAGGAGCAGATAGGAGCAATGGTTTTTGCTTTTTCGAAATCTATTTTGTGACCTGCCTGAATATGATGTTGGGCTAGGGCTGCATTGGTATCGGAATGTTTTACATATATAGAATGTTCGTAAATACGGTTGTGGATTCGTCGGTTTGTCTGTCCTATATATGTTAGTGGGCAACTTGAACAAGGTATCTCGTAGATACCATGGTCTTCATTGGGGATTTAGTCTTTTATGGATCTCACGAGATTGGACAACTTGGAGTGAGTAGTGAAGATGGTTTTGGTGTTTAGAGGGTTAAGAGTTCTACTGATCTTGTCAGTGACAAGAACTATTTTGGGTTGATCGGCGGTAAGGTTTCTTTTTTGGATGGAATGGGGTTTAGATGTTTTTGAATGCTCCTATTGATTTGGGTTTTGTGGTAGCTCTTTTGTAAGAGTGTTTGCTTTATTGAATTGATTTTGAATAATATGTGATTGTGGTCGCTAAGTCTTATGGAACGGGAAACCAGAGTGCTGATAACTGAATTTAGTTGAACGGGGTGATGATGGGATTATGCATTGAGACAACTGTTTGTATAGGTGGGGTTTCCGGTACACGGAATAGGAAAATACTCAACATCCATCGTGAATTGAATACTGGGATGTATTCCATTCAGGTGGAAGAGGTAAAGATCTAATGTGTCTTTACCATGGGGAAAAATAACAAAGGTGTCATCAACGTACCATAACCAGTGGGTGGGTTTGAGATTTGATGAGGACAGGGCTGTTGTTTCGAAATGTTCCATGTATATATCAGCTATTACGGGACGATAATTATAATAATAATTATCGTCGCGTATATCGTCCCGTATTATTATAATAATAATAATATATTATAATAATAATTAGACGATAGAAATGATTTTGGAATGAAAAGCATGTATTAGACATGCAGTGTTTTATAAGAGATAATGCGTCTTGGGATATTTGATGTTTGATACCATTATGGTATCGTGGTCACCTTCATTATATAATTTCGCTGGGAAATTCTCTATTCCGTGTGATTTGTTTTTAACTTTTAACTTCTTGAATCATTGGTGGTTCCTCTTCCCCCTCGTTTGTTCCGCTTCTCTTGTCTCTTTCATCTTCCACATTTTCTTCTTCCTTTTTATTAAGTACCCGGTTCAAGTATTGTACTCAACGATTCAATACATCTTTCCTAGCTGTTAATAGGTCGCCATTTAGACTTCTGCGCTGATTTGTAGTTGCCTTGACATGACGATGTCAAGTCATAATTGGTGCGCCATTCAGCGAAAATTCTTGGTGACTAAACTAACATTAAGTCTTTAAGAATTTTCACAGCTAACCCTAATTATTACGCTTTCTATAATGGCTCTATATTACTTTATAGCCATAATACTCCACGATCTCTTCTAAAGAACATTTACATAACTGTGCATAATTTAATTGGTGCCATTGTTACAACTTGTTGTTCTCCAAACATGGTACGTTTTAATACAGCTTAATTGATTTATGCAATATAAACCACTTCTAAAATATGATTTAATGACATAATTTAGTATCGCAGCATATGCTTACCTTGGTCGGTTTTGTAAATAAATTTAACCCAAGTCAATTTCTGATTTTTTCCAATTAACGAAAACGTGTGTGATCCGTATCCGTGTTGGTGTCGATGGCCATCAGGTATTCCTCTGTCGCTAAACAGAAATAGAAATTGATGTACACTTTCTGGTCTGCGACCCATGTAATCCCAAAATGCGTCCCAATCTCTTAGATTCGTTACTGGATTTCTCTTTTGGCTGTGTATGAACATTGGAAACAAGATCGGATCCCTCATGAAAAAAATTGGAGTGTTGTTACCTACCAAGTCCCAGTTGCCTTCTTCGGTATAGAATTTAAGAGCGAAACCTAAAACAATAGTTAAATTAAGTTTTCCTACAAACATCACTGGATTTTTTATTACTTGGTTTATTGAATATTATTAATTAAAAACTTATACGAAGATAACTCAGTTAAAATAGGAATTGAAAACCAGCAATCTGATACCTTCAAAACTAGCAGAGGTGTACGACAAGGCTGCATACTATCTCCAGACCTGTTCAGTTTATATGGAGAATACATAATGAGGAACGCACTCGATGGATGGAGAGGCGGCATCTCCATTGCAGGGAAAAAGATCTCAAACTTAAGATTCGCAGACGATACAACACTGATAGCAACATCTGAAGAGGAGATGTCGAGACTGATAAACAGAGTAGAAACCGAAAGCAACAAGTGTGGGCTCAAGATTAATAATCAGAAAACAAAAATCATGATTGTGGACCACGCGAATATCCTCCAAACAACAGGCGCCCTAAATCAATTCGAGAAAGTAGACGAGTTCACGTATCTAGGATCTTCCTTAAGCAATGCAGCCTCCTGCCATACGGAAATTCGCAGAAGAATAGGAATGGCCAAGAACGCGATGAGTCAACTGTCAAAAATATGGAAGGACCGCTCTTTGTCCAAAAAACTCAAAATGAGACTGGTACGGACACTCGTTTTTTCAATCTTTAGTTACGGTGCCGAAACATGGACAATAAAATCAGAGGATAGGAAAAGGATTGACGCATTCGAAATGTGGTGCTGGAGACGAATGCTACACGTCTCGTGGACGGAGCACAGATCCAATAAGTCGATTCTCGAAGAGCTAAACATTCAGACCAGACTCTCCTCTCAGTGTCTTGCAAATGTTTTAAAGTTTTTTGGCCACATTGCGAGAAGAGACAATGACAACTTAGAAAGACTAATTGTGTGCGGAAACGTAGAAGGACGTAGAGGCCGAGGACGCTCACCTATCCGATGGTCAGATCAAGTACAGAAAGCCACTGGAGAGACGTTTTCCGAGTCCATGAGAGCAGCCCAAAATCGCAAGAGATGGAGAGAATTGACAGCCCGCATTGTAGGGAATCACGATCCTCAGCAATGAGGAAACGACAAGAGAGGAGAGATTGAATATTAAATTAATTTTTAACAAAAAAAGTGGAAATAAAAAATTCAACAGTTTTAACTAAAGTATTGAGAACAAAAAATTAATGTAAATAGGCAAATATTGATAGGGTTCGTATCAGAAAACAGTCCAGTAATCAAAAGCACACAGCTGCAGAGAGAAGATATTGACGAACGAACCTGGACTATACACCCACATCAGAAAGCTCGCAGTTATGTCCTTTAAAGCACCTTAGTGTCGGTTTGCCATCTTATAGTTCCAATACGAAATTTTCCCTTGTCTTAATTTTTATATTACCCACAGTAATACCCAACTTCTGAGCTTCTTTATTACTTTCCAGATCATTTAACGTTACAAGTTTAAAACTGTCGATTCCTTCATTAAGTCTAATTTACATGAGTCGAGTAGCCGTTCAAATTACTTGTACAAGTAACTTTAATCAAGTGTTCAAGTTTGAAGAGCCTTCAAGTAAATCATGTACACTATTCAGAAAAAGTAACTGAAATTGAACAGCGCCAGCAATTCAGAGAAGAGAAAAATGAAGCGAAATAGATCATCTGTTCCAACACCAGACTTTTTTGTTTTGCAATTTTAGCAAATTACTGGGAATATGTCGTGAGCAGATTTTTTATTTTGTTCTTCACATCTTTAGGACCAAAATCATCTATTTTCATTTCTTAATATCTTATATACTAAAACGCTAAGCCCTTTTCTTGTCCACCACTTTACTCAAAAACCATATTAGATAATTAAAATATTTTTCGGAATATTATTAGTATTACGTATGAGATAGTCACGATAGACTTTTGGTACAAAAATTCACTTCCGGTTTTGAGATGACCGGAAGTTAAAATTTACTTTAAGTTTTAGACCCCACAATGTATATAAGGATCGAAAGGTCTCGTCGAGACGAATCTAAATATGTACTTCCGGATGCGATCCGACACCGGAAGTGACCCGAAACGCGCACACAATGTCAAGATAGAGCAAATCTGACACCGGATTCATGATCAGCATGCAAAATTAACTGATAAATGATATCCATGTCGACATTTGATGAACTAAAAATTGCATTCCGGTTTTGAGGTCTACTTCCGGTTTCGTTTTTATTAAAAAGTAAAAAGTAAAAGTTTACATAACTCCCGGTGCCAAGCAAAAGTTTTCAGAAAATGGAGACATTGTAACAAAAAACATTGTTTTCAACGAAATATTTCCTGATATTTAATACACTTGTTACTTGCATTATTATTGATGAATGTTATGTATATTCTTGCTTATATTGTTTGTATTGATCTCTTAATTTTTCTCGCAAAATAAAAATTTCATTTAAAAAACTCGATGTCGAGTTAGTCTGCTAGTATTTTATTAATAGCAAAATCTCTCATTTGTTTATTTCTATAGTGACTACTAGATAAATCCCAGACATGTTTATTCTTCTTACAACTCCAGGAACTTCAATGTTGTCTTCTTATTCCACTTCATATTTGTTAAATAAAATTCAAATACTTAAAAATTGACTTAACACGACCAATTCTTGACAGCAAGTACTTGAACGACTGTTATATCATCGGTGGCCAACATTTTCAGCAGACAGGTCCATTCTACAGATGAGATTTGCAAGCGGACAGTACAACAATTATGTTTGTTATTCAAAGCAAACAAGAGAACTGTTCTTTAAAAAAGTTATAACAAACATGAGAATCAAACATATTTATTAGATTAGAATTGCATACAAAAAATAATAATAAAAAATATAATAAATGTTAGTAAAACGTCTGATTTTATTTCCCAGACGTGCATCAATGTAGATATTGATTGATGTTGTTGCTACTTGCAAACAGTTTTACAAGTGCTCATCAGTGATTCATGTTGTCATTCGAAGTTTAATATGCTTCATTCCAATAAAAAGGTGTTCACACCTGTAGATGTATTTATATATCTATCAGATGTGAACGAAGCGTATTTATGCGCCGCCATTTGTGTGACGTCTGTCTACAACGACAATTTAGGAAAGTGAATGAAGATTTTTGCCCTGTAACTGTTATTAATTAGTAGATATTTCAAGACTTACTCTAGCAGACTTCATTTCCAATCAATTTTAGTATACCTTCATGTTTTCCAACCATTGCTGGAGCAATGCCTTAATGCCGATAGATAAATAATCTTCTTCTTATGGTGCCCTATCCATTTATTGGATGTTGGCGACAATTCTGAAATACTCCTCTCGATCTTGTGTGGCTCTAAAAAGTGCATGGGCATCGAGATTTGTCCAATCGTTTTCCTCGTTTTCCTGCTACGTATCTCTATGTCTGGATCTAGATCTTCAATTATACAACTACCGAGATATCTGAACTTGGGGACCTTTTGGATGTTCTTGTTGTTTACTCTTATATTCAATTGCATATTTCGTGTTCTACTAACCACCATTACCTTCATTCTTGTCTATATTAATTTTCAAGCCCACTCGTTCTCCTTCAGTGTTTATTCTATCTATTAGTCGTTGTAGCGCTTCTTGGCTATCAGCTATTATGACTGTATCATCAGCATAGCGAATATTACTAATAGTCTGTCCGTTCATTTTGATTCCATCTTCAGTGTCACTTAAGGTTCTATCAAAAATCGTTTCATAGTAAAGATTAAAAAGGAGGGGTGTCAGAACACAACCCTGTCGTACATATTTTTCGATTGAGAAACATGATGTAGATTCCAGTCCTACTCTCACAGATGCCACTTGATTCATATAAAGGTTCTTTATGATTTTAAGGTCATTCTCATCTATCGAACGTTCCTGGAGCAATCTTATTAATTCTGAATGATTAACACAATCGAATGCTTTCTGGTAATCTATAAAGCATAGGAAGACATCTTTTTGCTGACCTCTGCATTTCTGAAGTAGGACAGTTAAGCTATAAAGTGCTTCTCTTGTGCCAAATCCTTGTCTGAAACCGAACTGTGTGGGGCTAATGTCTCTTTCACATCTGTTGTATATTCTTGTGTGAATTATCTTTAAGAAGAGTTTTTGGACCTGACTCAATAAGCTGATCATTCGGAATTGGTCGCAGCTATTAGCGTTTGGCTTTTTTGGGTTTGGTATAAAGGTTGATTGAAGCCAGTCCTGTGGTATTTGACCGGACCCATAAATGTCATTAAAAAGATCTACCAAGGTGTCTAAATTATCTTCACTCAACATTGTTAGAACCTCTATGTACATGTCGTCTGGGCCTGGTGCTTCTCCCCATTTGTTCTGTTTGATTGCCCTTACAACTTCTGACTTCAATATTTTGGGGGAGGGTTCACTTTTATACTCACTTTCACAGTTTCTTCTAGTTGTGTCTGCGGATAGTTGCTGTGTGTAGTTTCTCCAATGTTTAAGTAGATCTTTGGGATCAGTAATTAATTTATTGTCCTTCACAATACTGTTAAAACTGCAAGGTTTTGTAAGACCTCTCACTTCTTTAATAATAGATAAAGATAAAGAGTGATAAATAATGCCTGGTCTTAATGCCGATAGATTGTCGAGTTGTAACGAAAACCAATTGATGTCGATTGAACAGCTTCTAATCTAAAAAATCTCGTGGGCAGGTAGTGTCCTGAAGCGCATACAGTGCTGCTAATTTTTCTAATATGTTAAATAATCTAATAAAAATCGCAACTTGGGCGTTATTTGATAAATCTGTGCTTGCATCCAATGCTAGAGCCTCAAATATGTATTTGGATGCTCAATTTTGTAAATTGTCGTCAATATGTTTTCCAATGTCGTCGACACTCGTAGTCACAATTTGACGAAACAGGCTTATTTTTTAGAAATCCGTTTTCTTGTATAGGCACAGTCCTGAACTATTTCACCAACAAAGTATGGCTTCGATGTTTTGCTAGTATTATCTCCACTGCAGACTCTTTAGTTACTATTAATACATTA